GAATTAATTGGAAACATTGGTGTTCTCACACACATGGGATTTTCCAGAGATCTCCAAGAGAGCAGTAGGCTGAAGGTGGGCTATGAATTATGCTTTGGGTGTTACCTAGCTGCATTCACCAGCCAGTTTGAGAGTGAAACACCTGTAAAAGGGAGCTGGGATGCTGGCAAGGTGCTAGCATCACTTGCAGGGTGAGGTATTTTTCAGCATGCAGTGAATCATCAGTGGAACTATAACGGGCCACACTGGTTCCTGCCTTCAGCAGAGCTTATGAGGGCCACGGCACTCACCCTGCTCGTCCCCAAATGCATCCACGAGGCATCGGCACTCCTCCTGGATGCGCTCCTCCAGGCTCCTCTTCCCTAAGCCGAAGTTTCGGAGGGTGGTCAAGGTGAACCTCCTCTGCTGCTTCCACAGTTGCCCATTGGAGGAGACCAGTCCTGGCAGAAACACCATGAGCCAAAGCAGATCCCTCCACCATGGGGGAAAAGCTCCAGGGCTCTGCCTTACCTCCAGCTGTCTCGGACCCAAAGCAGGGTCAACGCTTTGATGTTACAGCTGAGATACGTGTCCTGAGGTATAACTCACCTATGTGGCTAAAGATCTCCTTGTCGATAGGAATTTCAGGGCGATCTATGAAGTTTTCCCCTTGGTGTACAAGAACTTCTTTAACCATCCGCAGCCCATTTACAAACACAAATGATGTGCTGCCAAGCTGCACGCTGAAGATGTCCCCATATTTCTCAGTAAGCTGAAGGTGAGGGGGAATAAACAAAAGGGGTTTCATTTGTGATGACTGTGTCTGCTGTGACAGGCAGCCCTGGCAGGGGACACAAGTGAAAATAAGGGAAGCTGAGAGCAGGAGGGGAGATGGGATGTTCACAAATGTCTGCTTGACTGCATGCAGTCTTTTTTTCTTTCCTCTTTTCTTGAATCACTGATCAGGAATTGGTGCTAATGGGCCATAAATCAAGTAAAACTCTCCAGGTTTGATTTTTTAGTCCTGTGAAATGTGTCCATTTTTTTTCACTCCCTTCTCAAACACCCTTCCAGCCCCTGGTCAGACCTACAGGGCTCCTACAGCCGTGACTGCAACCATGCTGTCATGCCGTGCCCTTTGCCCAAAGGGCACCTCCATGCTTGTCCCCCTTCTTGTACCTGGGCAAACTTCATCCACGTCGCTGCTGACGGAGGGCAAACCTCCTGCCTGCCCTGGGGTGAGATCCTTTGAGTCCTCATGGGCCATGAAATTTGGGTTAACCCCCTCCCTGATCTGCAAAGGTTGCGTAGCCTCAATCCCCTTCTGTCCCCTTCCCTGCAATGCCCACCACCCCCGTACCTTCTGCACCAATGTATGGGGATTGGTGGGGTCCAGCAGGTAGATGTGCCCCACGAAAGGGAGGGAGAAGGGGCTGGGAGGGTAGTTCTTCGGCTTTCTGTGCTTCATGTAGTCGGCAACGAGCAGGAAGACGACGAGGAAGACAAGGAGCATCTGGAAGGAGATGCTCTCCCAGAGGAAGCGCAGCATGGGTGGATGGTGGGGCTCCGCAGGTATATGTCTCGCAGCAGGTCAGGGCAGGTTGAGCTCACGGGGCACCACCGAACCCCCCAGGCACAGGGGCAGATGGGCAATGTGCTGGCACAGCTGTGGGCAGAAACACAAGACAGCATGGAACAGCTTTTGCTGACCTGGCCTGGAGGCTACGTTCAGACTCCTGCTTTCCCAGGTTTCAGCAAGGACCATTTGATTAAACCCCTTCTTGATTAAACTCAAGCAGTTCCTCTGATCTCATTGAAAAACCCACAAATACAAACCAAAACACTCCCAGCTTCCCCTTTCCCCCTCCCATCTCCCACCGCTGCTCTACAAAACCCCGGTGATCCACATCCTTGTCTAAAGGACAGAAACGAGCTTTGCGGGGCTGGGATTAAAAACTTCTAGCAGCCTCGCCGTGCTGTTCCCACCAGCCCATGGCTCAGTGCAAGACCCACTCTCTCCTCCCCGTGGTGCCCTCACCGTGCCGTGTCCTGGCGTCGGCTTCCCAGTGCCGGGGAGGCTCCAGCTGGTCCGAGTGCCTCGCGCTTTCCTCGTTTGCAGAAGCTCGTTTGCTGGTAGGAAGAGTCCCAGGCTGAGCCCCAGGTCAGTGGGGACATCCGAGATAAGGTTGCACAAACCTTTCACAAACCATCTGACTCATGGGTTAAGGTTTCAATGCGTCAGGGTGATGTGGGCTGGAAGCAAACAGCCGTCCAGGATTTGCAGCGGTTTCACAGCACAGTCATTTTCTCATCTCTGCCGGACAAGTGCAAGCAGAACAACCTCCTGTGGCCGTGAGTTTGGCCCTGCCCCAAGCCCTCCAGCCATCCCTTCCCACCTGCTTTGGCCTTGGAGTCCGTAGCCTGCACTGAAGCTATGCCCAAACCCCACAAAACTAAGGCAGGTGCTGAAAAGCCAAAGCAGGTGCCCAGCTCTGCAGGCTGTGGCCCTTCGGTGGTAGCTGGTAACGGGCTGTGCTGGATTTTCCCATCTAAAAGTGGCTCTGAGACAGGTATTTGATCATGCATGTACCCCACATTCAATTTTGACACGTGTTGCGTTTTATTGTGAAAGAAGGAGGGGCATTCTCCGCAGCAGTTTGCCATCGCACCATGTGGCTCTGCCACGGCTGTTTGCAGTTGTTGGCTCCCACATAATGCTCCAGGGGATGATTTGGGTTCATTTTCTTTCTTTTGGGGACATCACTTGTGGCCGTTGGGGTTGTCCAGTGCCGAAGACAAGGCACAGAGATCCAACAGCGGTGCTGGAGCAATGGAGGTGCGCCGCATAACCTTTCCACTTGAGAAAGTTGAAAAAGTTAAATGACTGTTTTATTATGGAACTTAAAGGGGAAAAAAAACCTGCTTTCAAGGAGAATGTCTCTTTTTGTCTCTGGCTTTTAAGCACACTTAAGCATGAGCCTGTGGGGATGCACGTGTTCCCTTTCACTCACATGAGATGTTCCACTCAAAAAATAAACGAACGAATGCCTCCTTCCTTTATGGTATGTGATCATTACATTTAAAAATAGGAGGGTTTTGAGGAGGTTTTCCCAACTGATTTTAAAAAAAAAAAAAAAGAAAAAGAATGAATAGGTAAGAAAACACTGAAGTAATGGGAAAGGCAAGTTTGAAATGGAAGAGGGAAGAGACCAACATTTATTTGCTAAGCCAGTGCAAATAACACAAACCGTAGCCACATATCAGAGGTCAGATCTACACCAGAGCGAGTAATAAAAATGGAGAGAAACCAGTGTCTAGTCCTGAATAGCTTTGGAAACTTTATAGGTGAAAAAAGTCCCCAGACCTTTTATGTTTTCTCTTTCAGAAAAAAACCCCAAACAACAAAACTACGGGAGCCTATAACTGTGAAACATGAATTAAAAATGCAATAGGATTAAAATGATCAGTTAGAAGGACGGCTCATTGACAAAATCCCTGTGTGCCCGGTGTGGCAGGGGTGTGACGTGCAGAGGACTCTCCCATGTGGCATAAATCTGCCACTGCACAGCGATTGCTTTGTAATGCAGCAAAGGCGGTTATTGCCAGAGATGGAGGCTAAAGCCAGTGGAAGTGAAACTTGATTTAATCCTGTTTTCCTGTTAACTATTCAGTATCCTACATGCACGTAGAAAAGTCACTCATGAAAGGTGAGAAGAAAAAAAAAAATATCTTTGCTGGGACTAAATTCCAAATAAAAGCACACAGAAGCTGACATCTCTAACCATTAATGCTTGGTCACGTATATATGGAAAAATTCTCTACAAGTTGCATATTTAATTAACTCTTTTCCAAAGAGACCCCAGTACTGGCAGAAGCAGTGTCTCCAGCACAGAGGGTGCCATGCCTGACCCACCTCCTCGGCCCCACGCTACGGACATGCCATAGTGAATGGCCACAAATCTTTGCCAGAAGCGGAAGGGAAGCAGGCGAGCTTGTGACTTCCCAGCACAAAACCTCCGCGTCACCATTTCCTTCCTGATGGCCAGCGGTGAGCCGCAGTGGGCATGACCCTTCTGACACTCTCTGCTGCTTCTCATTCTGTTGAGCTTCAGCTAAACTACTCCTGAGCAACCGCATGTAATTCTTTTTTTGCAATTTTTTTTTTTTTTCCCTGTTGTGTACTTTACTAGCACAAACCTTTTTGGATAAACCTTTCCCGCTCATGGAATTGCAATACTGCATTTTTACAGCCATTCACAACCTGGAGGCATGGCTCCTCATGCCATCCCACGTGGGCTGGCCTACAGTAGACGCTGCTTCTACCACCCTGTGGCCTCCTAATTAAAACTTCCACATATGTATGAGATTAAAAAACTGCATGCTCCTGCTGCAATGATCTCTCTTTCCATTGCAAAGTGGCAACATAGTGGTGTGGACAACGCACACCAAACTGAGGCCGAGGCCACCTGGGCCTCAGGATTGGCCATGGCCACCTGGAAGTCCAAACTGGTGCTGAGGCATGAACCCAGAGCTTGTACGTCCAAGGGCAGCTGCCCTCACTGACCAGGGAGAACTCAGAAAACACAGCCCATGGCCATTCAGGGTGCTGCAGCGTTGGGATTTATGGGTTGCTAAATGGTCTCTGGGTGGTGGATATAGCCCCTATGGAAGAGCCACTGTGGACTCAACTGTGCCCATGGTTCTGCAGCTGGCAGACACCTTCCTGGGAGGTGCTAATGGCAGACATTAAGTAATAAGGCTTTAAAATTCATGCATTTTGTCAAACTGATAGAGGGGAGGAGCCAGGAGGTGAAGGGAAGAGTGCCAAGGATTGCCCTTGTTGCAGTGTGCAGGATGTGGCCCTCCTGCCCTTCCCACTGCTACCTGCATGTTTGGTGGGTGCTAGACGTCCATGACCCATCATTCTGGCCTAAAATCTATGGGGTGGATGGGAGAAGGGACACTTTCTGGCTTGCGGAGGGCTGAAGCAAGGGGGGATGGGGGGGTGGCCTACACCGGCCTCAGTCACGAGGCAGCGCACGGATCTGGAAGGGCTTGGGACAGCGCGTGAGGCTGAGCGTGAAGGCGAAGGTCACTGCAGCAGCCGCCGGTGCCCGGAAGGTGAACTTCTGCAGGAGGGCTGCAAAGAAGATGAAGAGCTCAGTCCTGGCAAGCTGCTCCCCGGGACAAGCCCGCTTGCCTAGAAAAGGAGCAAAAACAACCCCAGTGAGTCCCAAGCGAGCTTCAACCACCTCTCAGGCTCCTCTCGCACACGCCGCATTGCACAGGCTGTGGGAGCTTTTCTTCCTCGAAAGGTTAGGTGGCAATGTTCACCCACACATTTTGCAGAAACCTTCCCCAGAAGTTTACTGCTGAGCAAACTGCGACGGCTGTTAGGGTAGATGAAGAGGGGAAAGTTGGTGAAAAAAAAAAAACATTTACACAGCTTGTGCAAGAGGAAAAAAACCTTATTTTTTCATCCTGTGATAACAAATTGATTTCCCTCCTGCTCTGAGCCATCAGTATTAACTGTTACTGGGATTTTCACTGTGGGGATGGGCTGAAAGCTGGACAAGGAGCAGTACCCCCTGCTTTGAAGGGGGTGTCTTGGGGAAAAAACCCCAAACATTGCAAAAAGGAAAACCATCTCCCTATCCATCATCCTACCTGCAGAGAAGGGCAGGAAAGCCTCCCGCCTCCTGTACTGGCCGTTTTCCAGGAAATGTTCGGGATTAAAGGTGTCTGGAGTCTCCCACACGTTTTTGTCGAACATTATCGAAGTCAGGCTGGTCATCAGGGTGGTGCCCTGCAAGAGGTGGAGAAAATGGGCGATTACGCAAAGGAGAAGAGCCAACGTGTTGTCAGACTAGTTTATTATTAGCTCTGTTCCACATACAATGTAAACTACTATTTTTTTTAAGGGCAAAATGTTTTTTCTTAAGCTACATAATTAAATGAGGGTGAAAGCCTACAGGATTGTTCACTTCTGTGCTCTTCTATATATCACCCTGGCGTTGATCCGTACTTTGTGCTGCTGTCACTGGTGATATTAATATAAACCATCTTAAAATCCATAACATTGTGTTCCCATAGGAATTTGAAGCAATTTAACCAAATAATTTTCAACTGATCCATTTTAAAAAAACCTGATCTGATTTATCTCAACATCGTCCATCAGAAAAAGGAAAATATTTTAATCAGTGTGGAGCAAAATGCCCAGATTTTTTTATTTTTAATTTTCCTTGATGCAAACAAACAAATACATGGAAGTGACTAGATATATCTAAATCTCGTATTTTCTTTTTCATAATGCCAAAACAATGTGTACACATCAACACCTATTACCTGGCTTTTATCAAGTGCTACTTTTAATAAATGATCTTTAATACTCTGTGGAATTAATAAACCCAAACTGTTTGCTTTCGTATGTTTCTTGGCCCTGTATTTCCATAATGCCTGGAGGGTGCCTTGTATAACATTTGTAAAACTGAAAATTATGACCAACACTGTAGGATCTCACGGTTCTCCTCCGTAAGGAGCTGTGACCCATAAAAGCCCTACAGCATCCCTCAGGAGGGCTTGTATTTTCCATATGAGTGTGATATGTCCGTAAGATCCCGCTGATTGGTTACCCTCCAGATGAGATTTGGGACTTGGGCCATGAAGACCTCTCTTTGGTGGGGCAATGGGAGGGCTCGTGGTCTCCACGTACTTTGGGCAGGTGGTAGCCAGCCAGGGTGGTGTTGCTGGTGGACATCCTGGGCACCCCCAGTGGCACAACGTTACCCATCCGTAGGACCTCGCTCAGCACTGCCCTGGTGTAGGGCATGTTCTCTTTGTCGGCCATCATGGGTTGGCGGGACTGGCCAATCACTGTGTCGATTTCGAGCTGCACTTTCTCTATGGAAAGTGAGAAAAAGAGACCTGTGGTCAAAAGGTTCCCAATAAGAAAAGTGGGGCATAGGCATGTCCAACATGTGGTAAAGCTGGAAATAACTTTGGTTTTTGAGTTTCACTTCTCTGTTTTTGGGCTAAATGAAGGACCCATCAGTGGCCTTACCCTGAATGTGGGGGTATGCGGCCATGTAGAGCAGAGCCCAGCGGATGGCGGTTGCCGTTGTCTCAGTCCCAGTTAAGAAGAGGTCCAGGGTGGAGCACAGCAGGTTTTCCTCATGGAAATATGAGCTGGTGTCACCCTTAAACTTGGGGAAAAGTATGGCAATGAAAACTCTCATTAGGGAGGAGAAGCTTTTGAGAACCTAATCCAAAACCATCCATCCATAAGTCAAGTCCCACTGCTATTTTATTACCCATCTCCCCTGGACTTGGAAATTTCTACCCCTTACTTTCATTGAATTTCAAGCCCTGTGGACTACTTTTTGAAAGACACTCTGTTTGCTGTAGAGTGACTTTTGAAAGCAGGTAGTGTTTTTAAATGTGAAGTTTCACAATAGCAAACACAGGCCTGCAAGCTCTCATAGAAACATGAACACGTTCCCCGAGAGTCCTCCTACGCCGCATGACAGAACGAAAAATGGAAGAAGACAAAGTGTAAATACTTTCAAATGGAAAAAAAATAAATCTGTGTGTTTACAAAGTGATCAGGCTCCTGCTGTTGCTAAAAAGTTTGATGTGGAAGAGGTAGGGAGGAGAAGGCAACGCGGGAGGCACGGGCTCCTGTGATAAAACAGCTTTGAGTCTCATCTGCTCATTTCTTGGGTTAAACTTCAGGTGGCTTTAGGTATTTCTCTCTTACTTTTTCTATTTCCTTCAGGTAACAGTCAATGTAATCTCCTGCCTCGGACTGGTCCAAATCCTCCTTGTGCTTTGCAATCACTCCCTTCACAAAATATTGAAGTTTCTCCCAGTGCCTGAAGATTTTCCTAAAGGGTCCTGGTAGCCATCTCATGACCAAAGGAAAAGCATTATACAGCTGGCAAGAAATCAAACAGAGTAAAAGAGCATTTCTTGAGTTAAAAAAAAGCATGTGTCACAGTTCAGATGATAGTGCAATTTATTAGCTCCACTTGCTACCAGGAAAAAAAAATCAGTTTTGCTACAAAGGTCAATTTAGTTACACAGATGTAAACAGTACAAACAAGATAAGATGTTTTCTGCTGATAAAGCTCTTTAATATTGCGTGGCCAAAGCTGTCACCTAATGTGAAGTGGTCACTGGAGTCAGAAACCGGGTGTGGATGCAGAGGAGCCCCTTAGTGCTGGGGTCCATGGAGGGGACAGGGATCAGACCTGGCCCATGGTGTGCAGCCATTCAGAAGCTGTCTCCAAATCCACCTACTCAAGTTATAAATCTGCACTCTCAGACAGTTTTGTCATAAATAAAAGTCATTTGAGAAACTGGTTGGGAAAGGGATGGGGGAAAAGGGAATTTTCACTGAGTGCTACTAATTGACTCTTCTGTTTGTAGAAGCACAGATATTTTTAAGGTTTTTTCATTGCTCTTCAGCTATGTTGGGCATAAGATTGGTTTTACAAACCTGCAGTGTTTTTTCTCCATGTGCCTCAATAATTCTAACTTGCTTCCTTGCTTTCCTGATGGATTTTTGTGTATAAACCCAGTGTAAAACAATACTTGTGGTCATTTCCCTTATGACATGATTCTTTTCCTACTGGGAAAAGCAGATTACATGGGTGCCTTAGAGACTCCAGTTTCCAAGCTCTTATGTGCAGCTGAAGCTAGAAAAGCATCTGACCAGCTTTACCTGGCCCCAGAAACTTCCGATGAGTAGCAGCGTTTCAGCCAGTGAGTGCAGTAATTCCTGGAAACGGTTGTCATGGTAGTCAAAGCGGTTCCCAAAAGTTATGGAACAGATGATGTTTGAAACAGCGCTATTAATTTTGTAATGAGGGTCAAATGGTTGTCCTGGAGGAAACAAAATGAAAGACAGCTTTCCTTTTTCTTTCTTTAAAGTCTCAGTCAAAACCACATTCCCTACCGTATTGACAGTTGTGAAGCTGGGGTGAGACCTCACCTACTTTTTACCCATGGTGATGCTAAGGCTACAGCCATGTCCTGGGGTCCCCATCACCTCCAGCATCCCGTTGGAGGCTGGATATTGGGTACCATGACATCCTTTCTCTGAGAACATCCCCTCCCGTCTCCAGTCCAGGCTGCTGGCACACACCGACGTTAGCACAGAGCTGCTGAAGCAGGGCTTGAACTGTTTTCCAGGGAAATTGACTGGGAGCATGCCACGGTATGGCTGTCGGGTTTGCATGCTCCAACACGGTTTTGGTGCCAGTTTTAAACACCAGGAGAGGGTCCCTCAAAGCTTAGCCTGGGGCAGAGAGTTCACATCTAACCACACTGCAAAAATGCCATTGCACTGACCTTTAACTGTCCATCACAAATAAATCACGTGGGATGGGAGAGGGCTGAGGATTGCAAGTCTCTGTGGCCACCTATAAGATGCAGCAATAGCTCCTATGGCACATAGATGTGATGCACATAGCTCCTAAAAGACCCAAGTGTGGTGTGACGTTCATCACATCTATGTTCCTTGGGAGAGCTAGTGAGCAGAGACCATCATCTCCTAGGGCACATTTAGGCAGCCTGGAGAGCTACTTGCCATGATATGAAAGACTAATATCAGTAACGAACCCAGTCCAGCCTCGAGCTGCGGTCGCTACGCTGGGGAGCATCACTTTGAAATGCAAGGCACTGTGCACAGTACTGCTGATCTCTCCACTCTTCAAGAAAGTAATTAAACTGGGCTGGTGCTCAGATATTAGAGTGATGGACATGATCACTATTTGTCATTACTAATGGGAAGAAAGGCCCAAACCAGCAGCTTAATTAGTTTATTGATTAGGACTATAAAGGACTATAATCAATTGGCAACACGAAGTATTTGGCCTGTTCAGTGCAACAGCAATTAAAATGGAGCAAGTTCAGTATATAATTTCACAATTCCTATTTAGATCTTTCTTGTTTACTATATATAGCTCCATAGAACTAGCTAAACCCCATCTGCTTCTATTTAAAGCTGAAGAGCAACATCACCCATGTACCAACATACAAATTATTCTTACTAATATCCCTCTGGCAGTTCTTAAAAGCTGGACCATAAAAGAGCAAGGCACATGCTTCATCTGTGCACGATACAAAAGGAAAGCCTGACTAAACAAGTTTTAAAATACTTTGCAAAACCAAGGACAAGCAGAGGTTAACTAAGCCTCTGAGCATATGTGCCTGATAGCAGGAGAGCTGCGTTAATTCCTTCACAGAATACAGGAGAGACTTTCTTAGCCATATAGACATGCAAGTTTTAATAAACACCTATATATATATATTTGCTTAATATTAATAAGGAAGAGCTAAAATAGTAGGCCTGAGGTCTAAAGGAAGTGCTAAATGCGCAGTCTGGAAGTGTAAGATAGAGATTTGAGCTGTTGAAGAAATGTTTTGCATGTTAGGAGCTGCGTCAGAGTAAGAGTTTTACTTCTCATCGTTCGTTTAGCTGGAAGCTTTGGGCATGGTGCTGTACCTTAACTGCCCACCTTTCTCCTCCTCGATCGTCTCCACAAGGTACCGGCTCTCCTCTTGCACTTTTTCCTCAAAACTTACAGCAATGCTTTTCAGTGTTGCTGAAGCAAACTTTCTCTGTTGCCTCCATATATGCCCATTTGATGATATGAGCCCTGTAGGTGGAAAAAACAAGTGAACAAACCTCGCTCTGGGTCACGTATTAGTCTTGAACAAAAAACCCAATCCAAAGCAAACAAATCCTGCAGACATTGAAAAACTATAGCTTTGCCTGGGAATTAAAATTCAAGAGTAATTGGCTTATGCTAAAGATCTAGCTTTATGGATTTGCTTTAATCTGCTACTTTGTCACTTTGCGTGGGAAAAAAAGGTGTAAGCCAAAATACTATAAGTACTATCACGCTGTTGGCAGAGCTGCAGGCAGGAACACCATACCCCCGTCTCTGGAGCTATATGCAACCAGGGGAGAAAAAGTGAAGGAGAAATTAAAACCAAGGGGAAAACTCTTCAACTGTGTCGATCGCTGGGCAGCTTGCATTTATTTCTCCTCTTTCATCAAGACTTGACTTTGGTCCCATCATCAACCTTAAATCCCAGAGAGATTAAAACATACACCTGTGAGATTATTATACTGAATTCAGTTCTTGCCTTCCTCTGTGCTAGCTTTTTTGAGTGCAGTTAGCAAGGGTCAAATTCAACCTGTTTCTTTCACTCTAATTGTCATCATTGCAAATAAATAGATGAAAAATTTGTACCCAAATCCTGGTAGCTGTTCTTACCAAAGCCTCTAAATATTTCTTGGAGGAGTGGAATATTTGGACGATCTGTAAATATTTCAGCCTGGTGGACAAGAGCTTCTCTCACCATCTGGTACCCGTTGACTACCACAAAAGTCAGACTTCCAAACTGCACGCTGAAGATGTTCCCATACCGACCAGTAAGCTGAAAGAGAGTTCATTGAACTCTGAGAGCAAGAAGGTAGAGATTTTCAAGACTCACCAGGACGAGACCTCCAGCAATGACATGTAACTTTGAATTTAGTCCTGCTTGGAGCAAGGGGACTTAAGAAAAACGCAAACTTAAGTCTGCAGGTCCCATCCAACCTAAACTGTTCCATGAAGGCTGGAGATGGCATAAAAATGCTAGAGAGCTGTAGTATGGGAGAGGTGATTTGCTCATATTTTTTAGCAGGTATGAGCTGAGTTTCACCAGGCGGTTGCATCAATTTAACTTGTAAGAAGGACATTACTTGCTTGGTAACTTATGGGCACCTGCTCCATCCCTCTTCTTCACAAGAAGAGTACAAGAGGTGAAGGCAGCACCTGGGTCACCATGCCCAAGCTCTTGCTGTTGAGGGCAAAGCACAACAAATAATCCCTTTCATCAACTTTGTGTTTAAAGTAGTGTGGTTTCTTGCTCCAGCTATCCCATTTAGAAAGTAGCTCCAACTGCTAATGTCTAGAAACCTACTTCTAATTTTAAGCCTGAATAAATTTATGGCTAAATTATAGCTATTTTTCTTGCATGGACTTTTCTGGCATTAGTGTCTCCTGTGCAGCATTCAAGTCCCTGATGTATCAGAGCAAAGGGTGATCATACCATGTCTTGGGCCCCACTCCGCCAAGGGGTTCAGGCCATCCTCCTCCCAGTATGAGTCTACCTGAAAAGGCACACATGGTCACCCCGAACTGCCGTGGTGACTCAGGAAACCAGTCTGGGGCCAAATGGGTGTCTCAGTCATTGTGCACATGTCAATGAATGCACCTAATTTTATTAATAATAATTGTGTATAGTGAAAAATATCCTGAGCACGCTGCATCAGCCTTCCCCAAGGGTTCCCAGAGGGGACACCCGTGCTAGTGGCCTGTGAAAACCCAGGGCAGATGATAGGCTGGTGTCAGCCTGCTAAGTAAAAGCAAGCGATAAATAGTCACCAGAAAGGCTACTTGCACCCAGCAAGTCAAAACTTTTCCTTTCACTTTTTCAGAGAAGCATACTCAGCATGTATATAATACCTCTCTTTCATTGGCTCTGGTGGGAGTCAAAGCTCTGGAAACCTTTCCAGAGCAATCACTGTCTCTTTCTGTGACACAGAAGAAGCCACAAGGGTGGTTAACTCAGGGTCTTAAATGTTTCTTTCAGTTGTAATGGGACAAATCGTTGGCCTCTGAGCAAAGACAATGACAATACAATTTCCAGAGGTGATGTTCACAGTCCAAACAGTTAATTTCTCACACAGCACTTGCCATACCTCCACCAGCCTGGCCCAGTCCCTCCAAACCCTTCATGGGCTCCAGCAGACAATGATCATGGTCAGATGGGAAGAAAGAGGAAGAACATCTAGGTCTTCCTCCATTACAGGTTTCTTTCCCATTGGACCTTCCTACTCCCATGGAAGAGGAGGTGACAGTAAGAGATAAAACCAAGAAGGGTTGTCTCTCATACCTAGTTATTATATAGCTAGTTCTTTGGAGGCTGCCCTCGCTTCTCAGATTTGGTGACAAAAGTCACTGAAGAGGTAAAATATTGTTAGTAGGAGAAATGTCCGCGGAGCTCTTACCTTCTGCAGTGCAAGATGGAGGGGCTGCTTAAAGTCCACAAAGGTTCCCACAAGAGGAAAGAGCTGTGGCCCTGGAGGGAAATTCCTGGGACGTCTCCTTTTCACAAGGTCAATCATCAAAAGAAATGTGACCAGAATCACCAGGAGCATCCGACTGTTCAGCCTTTCCAAGAGTAAAACCAAATCAGGCCAAAACTGAAGCTCCATCTTGGCTGATGAACTCACAGATTTTCATCCCAAGAAGGTACTTGATGCTGGTGTTATATTTGCTAAAACAGGAATGGAAGAAAGGACGAGAAAGAAAACAAAACAAGCTAAGATGCTGATAGCTTACTGGGGACAGGACTTGCCATGGGTGAGCTGCTTTCTCATGTACAGCTACTTCCAGACCACCTGCTGAATAACTAAGTTTAAACACCAGGATCTCCAAAACCTCAAATATTTGGCCAAAAAAAAAAAAAAAAAAAAAAAAGCAATCTTGCAATCCTTTAGCTTTACATCTCTGTCAACTCCCTAATTTTCTTATGGAAGAATATTCCTGCCTTCTGCCCTTAACAAGGCGCTCCTTTATACAGACACCTCACCAGGATTATAAGCATTACAAACATTTGAGGTTAGGACAAAGCAGCTTACTTGGCTAATTACCTATGGTGGGCATTGCATAATTTAAAAAACGCTAAGGCATCTGAGGTGATGGACACCATACAAATCACTAAGGGGCTGATCCTGTTAAGTGCTAAGCACCATCTGCAAAGGACCGGATGCCTTCAGCATCCACCAAAGCCTGCCCAGCTTTACCAGAGTCATCAGGTGTTCGGACAAGGGAAGCACTGCGAGAGCCCAGGGCTCTGCCCAGCCACTTAGACTAGAGTTAAAGGAGCTTAATTTCCAGAGTGAGAACTTAGGCTCATGTGCTTGCCAGCTAAAGGAGAGATTGGAATTTATGCATTTAAATCTCCTGGGTTTTCAGAAAATCTCCTTTGAATAAAGCTTCATGCTGTCCTGGGGGAAGGCTGCAGTGGACTGACAGTGATCTCCGTGACCATGAATCAACCTTGCATCGCCTGCCAATATTTTAGCTACAACTTGTTTCCAGGTCTTCTCTTTTTTTTTGTTTCCTTTCAGAGATTTACTTTGCAAACAATCTAAATTTATACTGAAGCAAAATTGTCAATAATGATTTTCCTAGAAGTTATGGTGAGAAGTTCAGAAGAATGGTAAATCTTTGTTGTCTTTCACATTTTTCCAGAAAGTTTTAATTTTTCAGGAAAAAAAGTGCAACTTTTCACAGGAAATAATAATTGGGGAAAATTTTGCTATTCTTTAGTCTTTCACCACTTTTAAAAGCTTTGTTGTCCATGTCTTTCATTACCTTGGTGACTGCAGTGCCAGCAGAAGCACACACAGTCTGTATGACAGACCTGCACCTTAAATATTGCAGGAGTCCTTTTTAAGGGCAATACCTACTTGCAACCCAACACTTCTTGGTTTGAAATATTATTTACACATTCTGGATGGTATTAGGCACCAAATGGGGAGCAGTAATGGGAGAAACATCTCACATCACTGGTCTATAACTTATATTTTACTTGTCACTGTAGCACAGCTGTGAGCAGCAGTGGTTGGACACGCTTTGCTTGTCCCCGTGCTGGTGCGCCCGTGACGCTCCTGTACCATTTGCATCAATGCACCTATTCCACGCTTCCCGGTGTAGCAAGCCAAGCCTCGCTTATCAGAGGCTAAATCAGGATAGTGGGCTCATGCTCTTCATCCTGGCATCGGGGAGATGACTCGGTTGGTGGAGGTGTCAGCCTACAGCATGCTCAAAGGGACTGTGATGATAAGGCGTCAACTTCTGCTAGCCCAGTTTCACTCCTCTGTTCTTCGCTATGCCATATGATTTGTCAGCACGCACACAGAGTGCAGATCCCTCTACCACTTGTGGCTGCTGTGAATCAGGCTACGTGCAAAGCCAAGGTGTTAATGTGTTCTTCTGGGTGGTGTTGTGGGGGTGGATGCATCGTGGTTGACAGGAGAAATGTTATTTTTAGCAGGAGGAGCACATTTTGCATGTACTCACATGTGTCTTGTCAGTCAGAAACCTCAAGCCTATTACTTTGTCTTGTAGCTTCACATGTCCAAATGCATCTCTTCACAAAGTCCTTAGCACGCTAGATTTACTAAAAATTAGGGAAGAGCATTCCAGTATTACCAGGGCTCTCCTAACCTTAGTAGACAATAACACCAGCGTGTTACCAAACTGTATTGCAATGATGTTATTTTGGGTCTCAGGCTTTAATCAAATCAGTTCCCAGCACATGGTGATGTGCAGACCCCCAAAGCACTGAGGAAGTCACATCGCTGCAGCGCATGGGCATTACAAAGGTGTTGGACAATTCTTATTTTTGCATTCTCGACAAAACCCTTAGCTGTAAGATCCTGCTCACCTGGAAGATGAACTCGTGCCTCTGGCTGGCACCACGAACACAGGAACATTGTTCTTCTCTGGTCCAAATAGCCAAAATGTAAATTAATATGAGATAAGGATGTACACCTACACATCTAATAGGGAGCAGGATGTAAACCCACCTTCCCCAATTCCTCCTTGAATACCTCTTCTGACCCCAGTACACAACTTTTTGATCAACTCACCTGAGCTCATGGATACTGGGTAGATAAATTGTGCCATATTGCATGGACACACACACACATCACTGCTTGAATATTAAGGCATCTTGAACAGCCAACAGACAGAAATTGGCCCATATGCTTTGTACCTTCTTCCCTGGCTAGATGTCTAACTGTGTGCAGAAGGTTTTGAAACACAAAGAGAAACATTCTGTTAAAAATGCAATTACCATTTGTTTTTCAAGATATAGTATCCCATTATTTTTTCCAGAGAAGTGAAATTCAATAAGGTTACAACAGAATGTAGTCCAACAGTTACCGTACTTTCAGAGCATTATTTAAGCTACAGAATTTCTTAATGATTAGAAACATATGTAGGAAAAATCACATGCAAAATGAGAATGACTGGAGACAATTTCCCCCCTCAAACACTTTTTTTCAGGCAAGTAACAGCTCATCCACCACTGTGGTTCCATCCACCCCACTGGAGGTGTGAGACACCCACCCACCCGGGGAGCCACGTGCTCAGGTCACGTCAACTGACAGGCTCCAGCAAAGTCCGAGGACCCATCCTGACTTACATCAAGGAATATTTTGCTGCTTCTTGCCTTGTTATGTCAGACCCAAATGAGTGATGCCATTTTCACCACGGGCAAGCTGGTGAACAGCAGCGACCACCCCAATGTGTACGTTAAGGCCACGTCCCAGCGGGCTTTCACGCAGGTGCAGCTGCTGTTTTGTGATCCAGCCCGGGTGAGTCCCGAAGGACCTGGAGGCAATGGCTGCTTTGGACACTCATTTCCTTTTAGGATTTGCTTTACTGTATCAAGTGAAATGTACAGGAGATTTGTAATTGCAGAAGGATAGGAATGGAAAGTGCTGAGGCACCTGTACCTCCAGGACCAAACTCAGGAGAGACATGCTGGAACCCAGTCCTTAAGCTTAAGTTCCCCACTTGGGGTGATTTCACTGGGACCTAAGTGTTCCCATGGGAGCTCAGGGCCCAAATATCCCTGGGAGTCTGACTCCGTGCCCTGAAATCAGGGAGCCGAGGCAATATTTACTGCTGTGCTTGTGTGGTTAATACTAAACTGCCTCCAATTTTGCATCTTCTCTCTCTCCTGCCTAAGACTAAATGCAAATATTTGCCAGGTTTTCCTGGGACTCCCACAGACCTCTCACCTATTGCCTCCTGGCCACAACAAAATTTCCAGCAGTAATTAAAGCTATAAGGCAGGCAACTGCCACCATGAATGGGTAAACTGAGGCATTATGAGCTGCAGGGAGCACTCCTTGTGCCTCCAGACCCTGGATCACCCCCTGACTTTTTGGTCTTTGGGCCAAGATTTTATTCCTTCACAGCCAGGGTCTGCATCGCCTTTGCCAGCCCCATGCCACCCCGCATGGCAGACCCCATACGGACGTAACGAATCAGATTTCGGGGGTACTGGGTGCTTTCCCCTGAGGGGGCTGTGCTTGCGGCACTGCCAGCGGCAGCCGCCCACGACCAGCAAGACTCTGCCACCGTCTGCCGCAACCTGGCAGAGCCGGGGCTGCAACCCCGGCTGTTCGCACAGGGCAGCTTCCCGCATCCGAGCTCTTCCTCTGCCTCTCCATAAACCTCTAAAATGCTCTCCTTTCTAAGATGCACCTTTTCAGTATGCACAGAGAAGAGTATAGTCACATATTCCTCTCAAAGCCACAAGGACTTGACTAGAGCTAAAATGTCATTTATGTACATATCACAAGCGTTTTTCTAGGCACAGATGTCTTTCTGGTGCCAATATGCTGTTTATGTACTTATCTGTCACAAGCACATGTCTACATACATATGCCCTGCTGGCAGAGACACAGAGCATTTTGAAACTCTTATTAGACTGCTAATGAATAATACGCATACAAAGGAGAAAACAGAAGGTGGATCTATCAGGAACAGCCTCTTTCTTAACTACCTTTTAATTGTAGGAGAGGAAGAAAAGAGATGAATTTTGATATGTTGGCATCTGTGAAGGCTTGCTTAGCAGCATCGAACGCCATAATTTTCAAAGCGGATTTTTCACAGGTTTGGGTATTTTGGGGGGGGATTTTTTTTTTCTTAAAAAAAAAAAAAAAACCCCACAAAATTTTGACACTGAGAGTATTGCAAATCCTGGTGCCAATGATGTACGATAGTGTGATTGTCACCATGGAATGCTGAAAAGCCCGAGCAGCTGTTTGGCATATTGACAGTGCGAATTCGGAGCGTTTTAAATGCAAATGACAGTATTCAATTGATCGCACGAAAACAATGGGTCATAGCCTTACCTTTCCTTGGCTACGCTCTGAATAATCAGTCTGCAAATCCATGCACAATAGGAATATTGTACACGTTCTGGGGATTTTGTTCCCTGCGTACACGGGGGTCGATATGATGCTTTTGGGCAGAGCTGAAAAAAGGTGCCACTGCACGGTCCCGGGCACTGGGCTGGGGTGAGATGGCGAAAGGGGCATAATTTGCTCCAAATCCACCACGTCCTAAGTGT